GAATTTGGGTGCTATACCATTTGGTGCATATATATTTAGTAATGATATTACTTCATTGTCTATGGTGCCTTTTAGCAGGATGTAGTTTCCTTCCTTATCTCTTTTGATTAGATCTATTTTGCTTTTGCTTTGTCTGAGATCAGGATTGCTACCCCTGCTTTTTTTACTTCAGCTGACGCATAATATATTCTGCTCCAGCCTTTTACCTTTACCCTGTATGTGTCACTCTTTTTCAAATGTGTTTCCTGTAAACAACATATTGTAGGATTATGGTTTTTAATCCATTCTGCAATATGTTTCCATTTTATGGGAGAGTTCATCCCATTCACATTCACAGTTATGATTACTATCTGGGTCTTTTTCTCCATCCTTTTTTCCCCCTATTTATTCTTTTCTTTCTCCTTTTTCCTTTCTCCCCTTCACTAGTGTTTTGCTTTTGACCACCGCCTCCTTCAATCCCTTCCCCCTTTTATTATCCCTTTCCCTTTTCTTCCCCTTTATTCTTATTGCTGCTTCCCTCCCTTCTTTCCCCCCTCCCTTTTCTTTCCCCTTTTCCCTCCCACTGCCTATAGGGCAAGTTAGATTTCTATACTTAACTGATTATATTATGCCCTTCTTGAGCCTAATCTGATGAGAGTAAGGTTCAAACAATGCTCCCCCCCCTTCCCTCTGCTGTGATAGGATTTTGTGTCTTTTCCTATAATGTAGCCATTTTTTACGAGTATTTGGAGGGGTTTGGAGGAGAGCTCAAGCAAGTCACTGCTTTTACTCTGCCATCTTGGCTCCGCCCCCCTCTAAAGACTATTAATTGTAGAGAAAGTGTGGACCTATATTAGAAGAGAGAATTTCCTCATTCAGGTAGTTACCTATTCCAGTGAAATCACAGGTCCAGTCCCTATGTCTATTTTGTAATTTTCCCATTAAAATGATTTTTTTCATTATAAAAGCACAGACAGCTAGGTGGCACAGTAGACACAGCACTGGGCTTGGAATCAGGAAGTCTCATCTTCCTGAGTTCAAATCTGACCTCAGACACTTACTGGCTGTGTGACCCTAGGCAATTCACTTAATCCTGTTTGCCTCAGTTTTCTCATCCATAAAATAAGCTGGAGAAGGAAATGGCAGACCACTCCAGCATCTTGGCCAAGAAAGCCCCAAATGGGGTCATGAAGAGTCAGATGCTACTGAAACAACTGAACAATAACAACAATATAAAAGCATAAGTACTATATAAATAGATTATATACCTTAGAGCAAGATTTAAAGAAATATAGTCACCTAGGTACTTGAAACTCTCTCCTCCCTTGGCTTCTATTACACTGCAATCTTTGGTTTTCTTCTTACTGACTCCTTTGTTCCCCTTTCTATAGCCTTTTTTTCCCCTTCTTACTTCTAATATGCAGGCATTCTCTGAAGTTCTGTCCTTGGACTTCCTCTCTTTTCTCTCTTTTCTTGCTTTAAAATTTCACCTACTTTGTAGTTTGAACTATTACATTCATGCAGCTGAGTCCCAGATCCGTATGGCCATCCCTGGTCTTTCTCTAAAATCAACCTCTCTCCCAAACTCCAGTCACATCTCCGACTGCCTGTTACATATCTAAAACTAGATATCCTTAAGACATCTTAAACTCAACAAGTCTAAAAGTGAAGTCATTATTTTCCCCCATATCCTTTCCATCTTCCATTCTCCCAGTCACCCAAGCTTGCAACCTATGTGTCATCCTAGACTCAACTCTCTCACCCCCCACATCCAACCCATTGTCAAGTCCTGTAGTTTCTACATACATAACATCTTTTGCAGATGCCCCCTTCTCTCTTCTGTCATTTCTATCACCCCGGGGCAGGCCCCATTACCACATGGCTGAACTACTACAATGGGCTAGTTGTTCTCAAGTCTCTCCCTACTCCAATCTATCATCTGTTAAACTGATCTTCCTAAGACACATATCTGACTAGGTCACTCTTCCCCCGTGTTTGACAAAATCCAGTAGTTCCCTATATTACAGGATTAAATATAAAATCCTCTCTTTGGCTTATATAGCCCTCCATAACCAGGTCCCTTCCTCCCTTCCAAGTTGAGTACATTTTTGTATCTTACAGGGGTAGACTGAATGTAAATAGCAATTGTTTTCAGTTCTGGCCAAAAACTTTGAGGGTCTTTCCTTCTCAGACTGATATTTTTGTGATGATAAATTAGGCCATTTTTTGGTCTCAACTCTTACCTAGCTCTTATTGAATGGGCATTGCCTCAGACAAACTGGGACCTGGGAAAAGCCTCAATTTAGAAAGGCTAAGGTCACTCACAACATTGCCGGCCATCACTAGTTGTCCTGAATTTTGTCTTGCTACTGGACTAAAATGACTCTGGAAAAGAAAGTGAGGCTGACAAATCCAATTCATGCACAAGTCAAGCCATCACCTCGTGATGTCCTCGGTCCTCAAAAAAGGGCAAACAATGATAAAAACAATCTTGTCCCCAAATGGAACATAAGGTTTTGAAGAAGAAAGTTCAGCTTCTAGCTTAATAAATAATTTTGAAACAGTCCCTTTCTACTCCATACCTCAGTTATTCATCTGCCAGATATGATCTCCTTGTTCACAGAATGTTTTGTGGCTTCATTGATGGTAAAGATTTTTAACATAATTATTAGAGGTAGGTTGAAAAGAGGTAGCAAGCTCTAGGTATTAGGAAGCCACTTTGTAAACAGTAAAAAGATATACATGTAAACTCTTATGATGGTTGTGAAGAGGAACCATCAAATATGTACTGAGCACTCAAACTATGCTAGCCAGTGAAGGAAATATTAACTTATCACAGACCTTCTAAGAACTAGCACACTAAAGGAACGTACTATACCTAGTATGCAAATGGAATATAGTCAGTTTTTATTATTTTCCACAGCAAATCTTTAATCCCATACTGACTCTTCCATGTTATGATGCATGCTTTCAAGAATACCACCCGTTTGCTGTAATTGGTGTGTGTTGGTAAGAAAATGAACTTTGCACTAGCCTAATCAAAAAGTAATTAGGAAAGCAAATATGCTACACGTCAACATTATTTCAATATCCCAACACAAAGCAAAGAGGATTTGGGATTTTACAATATTTTGGATTACTGACTGCATTTTCTCCAGTTTGTTCATCCTTCATTTTGGAAGAGGACCAATGACATCGTGAGGTGCATCACCTGTGAACTGGATTTAAGTTGTCAGGTTTGAGGTCTATCCCTTCCCCTCAACTTGGTTTAGCCCACCTGCTGAGACGGGGTGTGGCAGCTGTGCATTCTACAGCTTCTTGGAGCCAGGGATGAGAGTTGGATAAGAGGTGGACGCCAAAGGTGGATGAGCAGCCCCGAAAAGGGCTTGGCAAGTCCTCACACCAGAGATGCTAGTGCTCCCTGAACACCCCATACAGACAGGCATAAAGATAGCATGTACACACACACACACACACACCCCATACACACTCCATATATTCCCTTTTCCAAGGGTAACATTTTTTTTTTTTTGGAGTGGAGGATTTGGCTGCCTTTCTAATCTTATTCTTTTCTTGTAATTCATTTGGCACATTTACAGCATGCAAGATGAGGAGAGATGGCTGTCTGACAGAACTGTAAGAGACAGCTAAATCTCCTTCCCTCTCAGCACCAGATTTAGGGCCAAAGGACTTATGTTTGAATAATGGCTCTGCTACTTCCTACTTTGTAATCTTGAGCAAAACATTTAGTTCTCTCTGTACCTCAATTGCCTCATCTGTAAAATGAGGGTATTGATCTAGGCCAGTGTTGCTACAGTCAAATAGAAACAGGGGCTACTAAACCACATCCTTGTGGGTGCATATTGACTATGAAAACACACATTAACATTATCTATATTCTATCGTATTTTTATTTATTTTGTTCAGTATTTCCCAATTACACTTTAATCTGGTTCTGGCAACATTTGGGAATATCCTGTTTGATATCTCTGATCTACATTGTTTTAGATCCCTCATTCATCCCCTAGCTAGACTCCATCCTCCAAGGCTGCTTTCCTCTCAAATGGAGAATAGAGCTAACTCAGAAAACTGCTTTTATGATAAAAGTCTCTAACTAGGCTTTTCATCATCACTGCCCAACGACTAAGACATGAAAACACAATACAACTCCCTCTTGTTAGTGGTCACAATTCAATCTTTTCTCTCACATCTAAACTTCCGGGGCTCCAAACTCTTGGACACTTAACATGAACCTCATTTTCCATCTATACTCACTGCATCTTTCTTTCTCCTATGCAGACCCACTCTTCTTAATCTCTCTTTTCTCTCATTAATATACTCTGCTAACCAAAACAGCGTATATCTTTCTGGTAATTCTGGTATACCTTTAACAATAGCAATTAGAGTGCATTCTGATGCTTTCTAAATAGGTCTGGGGCATGATTGGTAGTCATGCATTCATTTTTCTAGAAACCTTGGGCTCTAACCTATAAATGATCTGTGTTTTCTTACAGCTCTAATTCCTATAATGAATGAACATTATCTCTTAGCCGGGCTTTGGGCAGCATATGAAAGATAGGAGAGCCAATCTAAACCAATAAGCATTTATTACATACCTACTGTGTGCAAAGTGTTATGATATGTGCTGTTCCTGCCCTTAAGGAACTTACATTCTGTCAGGCAGATACAACATGTAAAAAGTTAAGAACATGGAGTATCCTGTGGGCTTCTCTGAAATCAAAAGGAAGGCTCCCTCAGGTTCAAGGTTCTTGTAAGTCTATATTCCTAAAACTATACTTCTTTAGCCCTTACTAATGTGTTTTCCTTTTAATTATGACAAAATTTACTCAAAGAAAAGGTATTTACTGGGCTGGCATTTAAAATTTACAATTGTAAGATAGCTGTATTCCCCCTTCCATAAATTTAGGTTGCATTTTCTTTCAAAACCACCAGTAAGGAAGTACAGAGATTGCACACGAAGGATCTATATGTAGTGACCATACGTGAATTGAAACTTATACCTTCAACACCGTAAGGCTGTTTTTGTCCTCTTGTGATGACTAAGACTCTTGTCTCTGGGCAAGATGCTTTGATTGGCCATATGTTGTGGCTATCTCAGGCTTGTCAGGTGGTTCAGGTTCAAGACTGGAAAGAAATGAAACACTTGTAGATTAACCAACACTTAATGAAAAAGGAGTTTACTTAAAGGTAGTATAGAAAGGCTACTCAATAAGGATACACTACTGGTTCAGATATATGTAGACCCCTAGAGTCCAAATGGAAATGTGTCTAGTCAATAGGGTGTGTTGGGTCAGATGGATATGGTGACCTTAGCAACAGGACATCCATCAAACAGGAGAGAGACCAACTCCTCATGGGCTGTCCTTTTTATGCTTTAGTGTCCATACTGTCAACAATTCCAGTTCCTTAGGCCAATCAAATAGCAGGGATAGCTTCCCAGCTTTTTTTTTTTTAGAGCAAACAATTAGCCTACTCTTTATGACAGGGACCCTGATAGATATTCCCCCTACCACATTATATTAGCTTGCTGGGCCTATTGGGTTTATTTTCTGCTAAATATGTTGTTCAGCTGGGCTTACTGATCTATCTGTTGGTTATACTCTCTGACCATCTCAGCTTCTAGCTGACCTGCGATCTTTGCCCAAGATACAACTATACCCTTTTCAAAAGAACCAGAATCCACACTAGGATCATCTGGAAGCCTCCCCATTTTTGTTTCTTCAGAATCTTGGATCTCAGGCCTGGCATCTCTTGAGCAAGTTTCCCAGCTCCACATGCCAAATTTTCTCTCTTCTTAACATTCTCTAAACAGAAATCTAGGGCTCAGGAAGCAATTATCTTGAATCTCCCTCTCAAACTGCATGTAAGCACATCTCCTATAACCATGTGCTTCTGCCGCAGGATGCTACTGATAATGATGGAGGAAAGAGGAGTTAGTAAAATACTCTTCAGTCTCTTATACTCTGTAAAAGGCACAAGTATGTCCTCAGAAGCTTAGAGCTGACTCCTAAAAGTTGATTGGTCAAGCTGACTGACTTCTAAATGGGACCAGTTTGCTTTTTAAAGACACAAGAGGTAGGCTTATTCTCAGTCAATTACTAGAATGTCCTTGGTTTCCATCAGTTGCCTTCATCCAATGGCCAATGCCTTATAATGTTGTCAGGTTTTTGAAGAAATGCTTTTAACCTTTGTTATCAAGTTGCTTAACTAACTCTTTTATATACTATTTTCAGTTGCTTAGGCAAACTCCCTAGTTTAAACAGGAACTTTCCAGATCCACATTCTCTACATACATATGGTTATCAGATATGACTATCTGAGAGAGAATAGAGAAGCAGGGTGAACAGGGAAGGTTTCCCATAGGAGATGGCTGAGATAAGCTGAGCCTTAAAGGAAGTTGGTTAGCTGGTTGAATAACCATACTCAAAAAACATTGATTCATGGATTAACATCAATCTGAAGGCAGTTCTCTAATGCAGTACCACAGTTCCTGGTTCTGTGTTATACAATATGTTTATCAATGCTTTGAATGAAAAAGTAAAAAAGATACGTATCAAATGTTTGGATGACACAAAACTGAAAAGCACAACTAAGTGGGTCCAGAGGTTGCTACAGCTGCACAGCATTTCCAGAGAACAGGCAGGTACATAAAAGCAGACAATGGCTTTGTCTGAAGGGATAAATATCTTGCCAGCTGTGCTCACATCCCCTGCCTCCTTTTCCCACTGAGTTTCTGACTATTTCATACCTTAGATCCTCATTCAGGATAATTTTTAAATTTCTCCCATCACAAGTCATGTTTCAGGTCCCTCTTCTCTTCTCCCAGCAGCACACACACAGACACACACACACACACACACACACACACACACACACACACACACACACACACACACCCTCCCTGGTAATGAGCTAGCTCTGAACCAAACCCTATCCACTCTGCCTGACAGCTTCAGTCTGAGGCTCTCAACTTTTACCCTATCTCTAACAAAATCAGGGCTCAAAATAATCTTGACAGAATGGAGTGATGAAGTGAAACAACAGTCTTCTTGAAATTTAGTCTCTTTTGAGGTGGCTTTTATCCACTAGCTCCTAGTTCATTTCCCTCCTTTCTCAAGGAGTTTGGCTCGTTTTAGAACACCTCCCCCCTCAACTCCTACTGTGATTCTGGAGTGACTCCAAAATACATGTTGATGTTGCCTCAAACACCCAAGCTCCAACTTTCCCAACCTCAATTCCCATGACCTATTCTTCTGTTCTCTCCCAGCTACATAGACACAGGAATGGTCACACTCTTGATCTGATTTTTATGTACAATTGCTCCACTTCCTCATGCAAAAACTCTGAAATTTGCTTCTTTAATCAAAACCTTTCCTTCTCTTGCAATGCCTCCTATCACTTTTCTCCATTCTCACTTTGATCTCCAATCTTTATATTCCTCACTACTTTCTCAGGTCATCATGCCTGCTCTGACTTCACTCTCCTCCCTTCCCAACCTCAACCCCATAGTTAATCAACTCAGCTCCCTTGAATCCCTTGCTGCTTATGTGGTGCCAAACTTAATTTAATTCAATAAACATTTATTAAGCACCTACTATGTGCCAGGCATTGTGCTAAGTGCTGGGGATACACAAAGAGGCAAACGACATACTCTGCCCTCAAGGAGCTTACAATTTAATGGAGGAGACAAAATGCAAACAAATATATACAAAACAAGCTATAGACAGAATAAATAAATGATTTGCAGAGTGAAAGCACTGGAATTAAGAGGGGTTGGGGAAGGCATCCTGTAAAAGGTGAGATTTTAGCTGGGACTTAAAGGGAGCAGGGAGGTCAGTAGGCAGAGGGGAGGAGGGACAGCATTTCAAGCATGGAACTCCAATTCTGCAAAGTCCATCCATCTTGGCTCTACTTCTACTTAGGTGCTGCTGAAAGGAGTTGGATGGGGTCTACTACAAATTTATATTATCTGATCACCACTGAGCTCTTACAGCACCAAAGGAATCCTTTTACTCTCCTGATTGATTTTCTGGAGGCAGCTAGGTGGCTCAGCCGACAGAGTGCTGGACCTGGAGTCAGGAAGACCCGAGTTCAACTCCAGCCTCACACATTCACTAGCTGTGTAACTCTGAGCAAGTCACTTAACCTCTATTTGCCTTAATCCGCTGAAGAAGGAAGCGGTAAACCATTTCGCTATCTTTGCCAAGAAAACCCCGTGGACAGTAATGGCATAATGTGGTCCATAGAGTTAGGAAGAACTGAAAAACAACAAATTAATTCTCTAACTCATTCCCCAGAGGCTATTCCAAACTTTCACTTTTCTAGTTAATCTTTCCACGCCTACCTCCCCCACCCTCTTATCTTGCCTTCTACTTCTTCTCCCTCTGCCCTGACTTCCAGACCCAAGTTTTCATCTTTGTATGGAGCTCCCGGGTGAGGAAAGACCCTCCTCAATGCAGATCAAATACCTTTCTGCAATTTACCGTCCTGGCTAATTAACTGAGACACTGAGGGATTGCCTTGAGTAACTCCGCCGGGTATGTATGTGTCAGTGTTTGAACTTAAACCAGGTCATTCTGACTTCTAGTTGAGCTCTCTATATAACGTCATGCTTCCTCTCTCATGATTGTTTAATTGCCAAACCTGATGGCTTTTTCTCAGTCCTCATTCTTCTTATCTCTAAAGAGATGCTACCAGTATTTGACACTGTTGACCAGTGTCACTGACCACTTTTTCCTATTTTGGCTTTCAAGACATTGTTCTCTCTTGTTCTCTTCCTCCCAGTCTCTTTTGCTGATTTGTCATCCATGTCATGTACACTAACAAAGTCTCCCCAAAGGTTCTATCTTTGGCCTTTTTTTCTCTCTGCACTATCTATCTCTTGGTAACCTCCTCAGTGACCACGGATTTAATTTTCTTTTTTTTTCTTAAAATAACAAAGAATCTATATTATTATTTCCCAAGAAATATAAACAAAACATAGTTATGTACCCGTCCCCTTAAACACATAATTTCTGACTACTAGATGACAAATACTGTATCTCTCCAAATATTGCTCAAATTCCAAAAGCTTTTTTAAAATCAATTTATTTTGAATTATCAACAATCACTTCCATAAGCTTTTGAGTTTTAAATTTTTCTCCCTCTCCCTCCCCACCTCCCTTCCCAAGATAGTATGCAATCTGATATAGGCTATAAGTATACATTCTTATTAAACATATTTTCACATTAGCGATGTTGTAAGTAAGGATTAGAACTAATAGGACGAACCACCGGAAAGAGGAAACAAAACACAACAGAAGAAAAAAAATAGCAAGTAGTATGCTTCGATCTGCATTCAAACTCCATAGTTCTTTTTTTGGATGTGGATAGCATTTTCCATCATGAGGCCTTTGGGGATGTCTTAGATCCTCATATTGCTGGGAAGGGTTAAGTTTATCAATATTAGTCATTGCAAAATGTAGCTATTATTGCCTACAATGTTCTCTTGGTTCTGCTCACTTCTCTCAGCATCAGACCATACAAGTCTTTCCAGGTTTTTCTGAAGTCAGCCTGTTCGTCATTTCTTACAGCACAATAGTATTCCATTACATTCTTATGCCACAAGTTGTTCAGCCATTCCCCAGTTAATGGGAATCCTCTCAATTTCCAATTCTTTGCCACCACAAAAAGAGCTGCTATAAATATTTTTGTACATGTGGGTCCTTTCCACTTGTTAATGATTTCTTTGGGATAAAGACCTAGTAGTGGTATTGCTGGGTCAAAAAGTATGCAAGAGCTTTATAGCCTTTTGTACATAGATTCAAATTGCTCTCCAGAATGGTTGGATCAGTTGACAACTCTGCTAACAGCACATTAGTGTTCTAATTTTCCTACATCTTCTTCAACATTAATAATTTTCTTTTTTTTGTCATATTAGCCAATCTGATAGGCTGAGGGGATTGTACTCCCTATTAAAGATGAAAGGAAATTAATTCTAGAGTTTATCATGCATATGCATGTAAGAAATAAGATTATAACAAATTAAATTCATTTTTATAAAAAATTTTATTCAATACATAACATTTTAGTACCATAAAGTTATTTAATGTTTATCAGAACACAAATAAATTAGTGAGACTCCTGATTGTGTTTCTTGTCAACGAACAGTTTTATTATCAATATAGTTTTGAAAAGATACCTACATATCATGTATACCTACAGTTTGTTTCTTGTTTTAGATTTAATCAAGAACAGGATTTAGAATTCTGAGTCACAGAGACGTTATAATACACAGAATTAAAGCCTTATGAGAATGTTTAACAAGAATGGGATACACCAAGAATAAACCAAAAGTTCTATAACTTTTATGGACTAAAAATCAATTTTGAGTTTCTGGTTATTCAGAGATAAATTAGTTCACCTTTTACTGGGTCATTGTAACTATTTCTTTTTTAGCTCAGTATGAAAAGGATTTCATATCCAAAGCTCATTCATTTGGTTTTAGTCAGCAGGAATTATTCCTTCAACTGTCTCAAATTTTTGAAATGCCCTATAAAACTCCCTCCATCTCCTACTCTATTCTCACCTTCTCCCTCCAAACCACAATGTATTTTTTAAACTAACATTAACACTTTTGGAATATTTCAATAGAATATAATTATTTAAAATATGCCCTGAATACCTTTGGCAAGTTTCTCAAGTATGCAGTACCCCAAGTTGGGAACCCTTGCCTTAGGACCTCCTGCAGGGCAGATGTTATTTCAATTTTGTCATTGCATCCTCATACGTGCCACAATGAAGCACTTAATAAGGCGTCACTGATTCCTCACCTTCGTTCTCCTATATCTAAGAGTTGCCAATTTTGGTTCATTCTACTTCCCTATCTTTTGTATCCATCTTTCTACTCATGCTACAACCAACCTAGTTCAGACTCTCATCACCTCTCACCTAGTCTATTACAATAGCCTTCGACCTAAACTCCTCACCTCAGGTTTCCCTTCTGTAATCCATCATCATTCAGCTGTCAAAATGACATTCCTACAGCAGTAGTTTTGACCACTTCACTCTCTTGTTCAAGAAGCTCCAGTGGCTCCCTATTGTCTGAATGATACAATTTAAACTCCTCTGCTTTGCATTGAAAGTCTTTCACAATTTGCCTCCACCCTAACTTTATAGGCTACTAACATATTATCCCACTTTGCGCATTCTATATGCTACACACATAGGCTTTTCTCCACGCCTAGACTGTTCTTTCTCTTTGCCTCTTCCTCTTGGAATTTCTTGAAGCCTTTATTGATTCCTCCACTTAATAATAATAATAGCTAACATTTATATAGCATGTTCTATGCGCCAGGCATTGCTCTAAGCACTTTACAAATATTTTCTGATTTGAACCTCAAAACAACCCTGAGGTAGATTTGATTATTATTCCCATTTTTAAATTGAGGTAAATAGAGGTTAAGTGACTTGCCCAAGGTCACACAGCTAGTAAGTGTCTGAAGTTGGATTTGAATTCAGTTCAGAAGTCCTCCTGATTCCAGGCCTAGTGCCCTATCCACTGCATCTCTTAGCTGTCCCAGTCCTTAGTTTACCCTTTCAGAAAATACTTTTTATGTATCTTACGTTTATTTACCTATGTTCATGTCCTACTGTATTACAAAAAATAAGCTCCTTGAGGGTAAGGACCCTCTCATTTTTGTTTGTATAGTCTCAACCTAGTACAGCGGCTGGCACATAGTAAGTGCTTATTGAATTGAGTGAATCAAGGAGATCAATTTGGAGGCTATTAAAATAGGCTGGGTGAGAGGTGAGGAGGAACTGAATTAGGGTGGTGGCCTTGTGAATGGAGAAAACGATATGACGCTGTTGGAGGTAAAGTTGACAAGACTTGTCATGAGCATACTTCAAGGATTAGTGATTTCTCCCGTGTGAAAACACATGATTTCTCAACCCTTTAAGATTCTTTCAGAGTTGCTATAGCTAAAAAAAAAAAAATCATCATCCTCCAGGCAGCAACCTGATAAGTAGCCTCTCCTAAGTTACCAGTCCCTGGAGTATACACCTTCAGTTGCTGGGCCTGTATTTAAAGTCTTTCCAGCCTGGTAAGATCTGTCAGGGCTTGTGCTCTGCTGGCACAGTCTTACAGAATTTAGGGTCATTTCTATGCCAGGAGGCACTGAAATAAGACTTTAGTGGTGGGTTGATCCCTTGCACACAGTAGGCACGTAAACTGGATGGTGGCTGAGTGAATGAGAAAATGATCATGATGATACTAATAAACTCCAAATTGAAGCAGGATCGAATCAAAGAAGACTATAGAAGAAGGAAGGAAGAACAAGGATCTGAGATGAGAATAGAAGGGAGAGGTGGGTAGAGAAGGATGGGACTCTTCTAGAATGAAGTAGATCTTTTATTAAGTATTACTGTTTCCAAGGCACTGAACTCAAGAAATGGGGATGCAAATAAAAGCAAGTGAGATAGTTCCAGTCTTTAAGGAATTTACTTTCTTTTTTTTTTTTAGCCAGTTGGGGTTAAGTGACTTGCCCAGGGTCACACAGCTAGTAAGAGAAGTTTACTTTCTAATAGAGGGAAATGTGACTAGTATTCTCAAAGTTAGAGCTGGAAGGTGAATGAGGGTTGGGGATGGTAAGTGAGAGGAGTCAGAAGAGGAAAAGAGAATAATAATCCTATTACCAAGGTTTCCAGAACTATTAACTTCAGTCGACTACTAACTAGATACAGATTCTATTCAGAATATTTAAGTTCGCTTCATTAATTCCCGTTTTGCTCCTTCCCCAATATTTCACAGTTCCTGCTATATCAAGCTGAACTGGTCTTCCCCAGCTTCCTGTTCCCGTTCAAACCACTCTCTCCTCTGGCTCATCTTGGGTGTACCTAGGCTACAATGAAGCAAGGGCTGAGAAGGTTCCTACAGAGCCACTGGCGGTATTTTTTATTGTAAGAAGGAAAGTGTGTGTGGACAGGATGGAGAGGCAGCTAGGAGTTCAGGTGCCAGGAGAGGTGAGGGGTGGAGGTCAAATATGGAGGTATGAAAAATGAATGAAGACCGCAGCTGTAGAGAAAATATATATATATATATATATATATATATACACACATATATATAGGAAAGGGCTGTGAGATGAAGGCATGAATGAAAAAACATGTTAAGCGTTATGTGCTAAATGTGAAACAAGAAAGAAGAGGGCAAGAGACGGACAACGTCATGTCTTTGAGCCTCCTCTAGGGCCGGGCATAGAGCCCGACACACAGTTGGTGCTTCATAAACAGGGTGTGAATGAGAGAGTTAAAAAGAAACGAAGGAGGTAGGAAGAAAGATAGACGAGAGCGCGGGCGTGGGCAGCCGTAGGGCCGGCTCCGCCCCCTGGGACGCGGGGAGGTCTGCGGAGCGGCTGGCTCTCTAGGAATGCGGCGGCTGGAGGAGGGGAGGGGGAGAGTGGGAGGTGGGGGCGGAGGTCCCCTCCCCCCTCCTCCCACCGGCTGCTGTGCGCCGCGGACGCCCCTCCCCTCTAGCGCCCGGCTGGCGGCCCTCTGTCCTCCTTTCCTCGCCCTGACAAGCAGACGGGCAGATGACATCATCTCTTCCTGAACCAGCGTGGCCAGTTTTTCACTTTCATATTCCAGCTCCCTTTTACCTATTACCTAAAGCAAACTCGGGGGCGGGGCGGGATTCTCGCTCCTTCCTCCACCGCCCCGGCCGTTCCGTGCGCTCCGGGGCTGTCTCGGAGTTTAGCAAAAGCTCGAAATCAATTAAGTGAGCGTGCCTTGCGCGCCGTGGACGCCGACACCGAATGGTCTATTCCTGGGGATGACAGTCCTGAGAGTCCTGAGTTCTCGCGTATTTATTAGGCACACAAAGGCTTGACTGTCCGGTCGCTACGCCCGGGCCGCCTGGGTCAAGTCCTCCTAAGTCCCGCTCATCTCTCCTTTCTACAACTCTAGTTCTAATAGGAGGGTCCAGGGTGGAGGGGAAGGATGTCTAGCGAGAACATCTGCGCTTGCCCAGTCCCCATCGGGCTACTCCACCCACTCCGGCACTCCTAAACCTCGGCCTGCCTTTTTTCTCCGCACCAATCAGAAGCCGGCGGAGGAGCGCCTGCGCGCATCTCCTTGTCAGGTCTAGGCATTTTAGATAGGCGCGCCAGCCTTCCCGACTTCTCGGGCTTTAGACTGCGCCCCGGGTGCGCCGAGGAGGAGGAGGGGCAAGCTTACGCTCGTACGTGCGTGCGTGCGCGGGCACGCCGGCGTGAGAGGGCACGGGGGAAAAAGGTGGTTTGGGCCGGGGCGGTTCAGCTTCCTGTGGCTATGTAGCTGAGGGCTGCTAGGCTCTGGGGTCCCCTGCCGCCGTCGCGTCCTCGCCAGCAATCGCCCCGCAGCTGCCGCCCCGCGCCAGCAGAGACTCCTCTTCCTCCCCGCTCGCTCACCCACGCTCCAAACCCGCCTGCCCGCCGTGGGAGCGTCCCGGCCGAACAGCCCTGAGGGGGGAGGGGAAGCCATTTTGTCCCGACCGACTCCCCGGAACCGAGTCAGGCGAACGGGAGAGGCCGCAGAGCCGCCGCTGCTGCCCCCCGGAGGCGCCGGAGCGAGCCGCCCGTAGGAGCCTCCCGTGCCAGGGCGCTCGGCCGTCGTCTCCGCCCCTGGAGCCCCTCCCTCGAGCGCGCCCCTTCCCCTCCACCCTGCCCCGCGCCTGCCGGGGCCGAGTAGCCCGGAACCCTAGTGAGGAAGGAGCCCGTGGGGGTGAGAGGAGAGATCGATCCCGCGGGGCCGCCGGCGGCGAGAGCCGGAGCTGCTGCTCCTCCCGATGGCGAAGAAGACGTATGACCTGCTTTTCAAGCTGCTCCTGATCGGGGACTCGGGAGTGGGGAAGACCTGCGTCCTCTTTCGCTTCTCGGACGATGCCTTCAACACCACCTTTATCTCCACCATAGGTGGGTAAGCCTCGGGCGGGGACTCCCGGGGGCCTTCCGACCCGGACCCCCAGCTCGCCCCTCGGGTGCCGTGGCCTTTGTTTCCGGGACTCCCGAGCCCGGCCCAGCCCCAGTCGAAGTTGCTCTTTGAATTTTTTGGGGGCGGTGTCTGCCCTTATCTCCCATCCGGTCTTTCGCCTCCCAGTCTTCTGCTCCTCTTGAGGCATTTAAGGAAAAGTTAGAATACTATCTTAGTGAGAGAGGATGCTGGCATCTTTTTTTTTCTTCTCTCCCCCGGTTTTAGTTTGGTTTTGGGATGTGGATCTGCAGTTACGACCGCAAGGATGTACGTGGTGACTGCGTTTTGGTGGTTGGATCCCATTGAGTCTGTCAGGGCCTCGGTATATAAACCATGGGACAAAAGAAGAGATCCCAGCTGCTGTTTTTTTAGGCGAATGATTTTGAGTAATTTTAGGGTTGAAACGAAGAGTAATTTGAGCTAGTGGTGGAAAAAGCAAAGCCTGCAGCACAGAGAAAGCCTTTGAGTTATTATTCCAAGTCTCTGGGACTTGTTTGGGACTGGACTGTAACCAGACTTTAAAGTGCTCTGATGACATTAATCCCTTCTTCCATTTATTCTTTTCCTTTTAAAGCTTTGACGGTGAAGCAGTTTTCTTACTCTTTGTGCTTTGACTTATTGTGCTTAAAGTGTCTTTATAAAAACGTTTTCTTTTAAAAGTGTCTCTTCACCTCATGTTTCAGAATTGACTGGTATCCTTGTCAGGATGGTGAAAACATTATCAAAGTATAATTGTCTCCAAAACAGGAGACTCCCTACTTCTGGTAAAGTATCTTCTGATTTGGTTGGAAGAATTAGTGGTGTTTGTGGCCCAACTTGGCACAAATTGTTTGAGAAACTCGTGTTTAGATGTAAATAGTTGGCACCCTAGGTTTCCTTAAATTTAGCTTTGATGTGCTTCTAGAGAAAAAAAAGTCACCCTGGACGTTGTCAAAAATGTAAACTGACTTTAAACGATTTTTAACACATACTAAAATTCCTGGTGATTGAGAAATAATTTATCCTGTGAACCCCACTTTACCTGGACTGTGATATAAACTAAATTAAGCTATGTTATCATTTTATTCATAATTTATTTTTTACCATCATGATCATTGTTTCTTGATTATTGATACAGTATTAGGCATGTTATATAGATGTATGGACATTTACACACCCATCCTTGCCCTTAAAATCATTGCTTGCTTGTGTACGAAGTAATTGGCATTAAACTTGTGCCAAATGTGTTCCATTTCCAGCTGTAGCTGGTTAGCTTAATTGGTTAGAGAAATAAGGGTAACAAGATGAGATTTGGTTCCTTCCTGGGCCAGTTAGCTTGTTTACATGTGTTCCTTGGGTCACATCTTACTTGGATCCTGCCATGTCATTGGTAAGAAGGAAAACTAGTGAAGGGTTAAAGAATATCAACATTCTGAGGATCTGTTGTTACTACTGAAAGAACACTTCAAAACATATGCCCTTTTTAATAATTATAATAAAAGGATACATTTATGTTTTACATTAAGGTTTAGAAAGTACTTTCTAAGCAACTCTCAGTTTTATAAATGAGGGAGCTAAGGTTCAGATATGTCAGATACTTTCTCCAGGGTCGTATTAGGTAAGATTCAAACCCAGCACTCCTTGGTCTTAAAGCCAGTGGTTTTTTTTACTATGTTGTTTCTCTTAATGCAGTACTTTCAGATATGTTCTTACGTCTTCATGGAAATGTGTCAGTGTTATCTTCCATTTAGAAGAATAGCATTAAATAATGTATTCTACAACTTAAGTTTGCCTTTCCCTAAAATATCTTTAAATCCAGAATATTACATGTTTATTTTCATTAAAGGTTAAATAATGCCTTAGCCTGCTTTTTAGAAGGTATGGATTAGAATAGAGAAATTGATTTTTAATTTCATTTATGAAACCTTTCTGCTATTGGAAATAGCAGAACATATGATGTATTATACATTGGATGACATGCACACAAGCACATATCTATTTGATTACTGCTTTTGAACAATATTTAATTTTTACGAGGTAATTGCCATTTTGAGATATAAAATGGACACTGACCACCATATACACTTAGCTATACTCATTTTACTTAGTTTAAGCTTGAAATTTTGCACACATTTGGAAGATTTGCATGTATAACTCATCTAAAAAGTTGCATTTTCGGAGCTTAAGTCATAAATAAGAATTTTAAGAGGTAGATTGCAGATTTTTATTTCATCAGTAGCCCAGGTTTTACTCATTTTCTAAGTGTAGTAATAATCGTGAAATTTGGAGGGTTGATTACTTGGTAGATGAAGTGATAAGGGTAGAGTAAGATTATCTAGAAATGTCTCTATTGTAGGAGTTCCAGAGTGCTCAAGTAAGGCAGAGAATCTCTTTTATTTGGGAGAATGTAAACTACTTTTTTGATTTTACCTCTGCATTTGAAAATAGTGAAAATATTTAGAGTAAATATATATAATGCACACAAAACCACCAAATTAGGCATTTTATTCATCACTTTTCTATTCTGTACCTGCATCTTTGAATATAAATTTTGTGTGATATTAATGGTTTTTCAGTCAATTAAAAACAGACTTGCAGATATATAAAAAGACATACTATACTAACTAGTATCAAAGTGATGGCAAGCCTGATGTAGTAACAGTAGACTGAAGAAATATGTAAGTTCTAGATTATGTTCTTCAGGTTTTTTGAAATTATTTTTAGTAGAATTAGAACAACATTGATCTTGGTTAAAAGTCTTTGGAAAAAAAATAATTGACAGTAGTATAGAGTGACATCTGTTGAGTAAAAAATTCAGGGTTAGTGTGGAATTGTGAAAAGTATGCTGAGACCAGAGAAGTTTGGGATGGAATTCTGCCTCTAGCAGGTACTGGTTGTGTGACCATGGACAAATCACCTCTCTGAACCTTAGTTTTCTTGTTTGTAAAGTGAAGAAAATAACTGGTGTGCCAATCTTGTTGGGTTGTTGTAAGGGGCTTTATAAACTTTAAAGCTTTATGGAAGTGTCAGCTATTTATTATTATTCAATGCCTCAGTATTTCAAGGATTTGTTATTTCTTGAGTGTGGTCATTCCCTCAATAGATTCAGATCACCAAAGTCCAACTCTGCTGTTTCATCTTGGAGGTGACCCTGGGTTCTCAAAGTCCATGCCAGGCAGCAGACCACAAGCCCTGACACCTTCTGCCAGACTGGAAAGGCTTTGAATGTGAGTACAGGCCTGGACAGGTGGCAGTGTCTGTTGTCAGAGATTTGAAGTTGGCTACAGGGTGAGAATTTTTCTCTTAAGCACTCCATGAAGACCATCTACTAACTTGTAGAAGGTGGTGGTGGTAGTTGCTGCTTTTTTTTTTAAACTAGCAACAGGAACTTACAAGATCATTGGCAATTAGTAATGGGAATTCAGAAGATTGGTTTAGGGATGAACTAATTTAATTTAGATCCGCACCTGAAACTCCAAGAGTTGTCTGGAGCACTGAGAAGTTGTGACTTACCTAGGGTCATATAGCTGGTGGGAATCTCATGTGGCACTTGAACTCAAGTCTTTCTGATTTCAAGACTAGTTTTCTGGCTACTACATCAAGCTGCCTGATTTACTAGTCCAAAAAACCTTGCAAGTTTTCAGGGGTATATTGGGCAGTAGTAAGGTCTTAAGGTAGAATGCTTTCTATTCCCTTAGGATACATATTTTGTCAAGGCAAGAGTTAGTTACTCCCAAGTATTGCATTTAGCTAAGTACTGACAAAAATACTCTGGAGGCTTCCAGAATCCACGTACTTTTCACTCAATAAGAGAAGGGAGGAAAGAACTGGAAATGATCTCTCTCCACCTATGAATATGGCTTTTTTTTTTAAATAAAGGAAGGGAGCTAAATCAATAGTTCTCTTTAGTGTACGATCCAGAGATGTTACTGATTAGGGAAGTCAGTATTTGAAGCATTTTTCTTTTCCCATTCCTTAGTCTTTCTGACCCTGCACTTTCTTCTGGGAGCTCCATGTGGATGTGTGTAAATTTTAGTTTTGTGTATGCCTGCTGGATCACAGCCATTATCTGCAGGGGCTTTAGAGATTATGTACTATCATCTCACATCTCTCTTAAGAAGGTAAGCAGACAGGTCGAAGAGGTGAGG